CTAAGTCCAGTTGCTCACAGGTATGATTTAATTCTATTATTTCTTTGCTGACTTTTTTGTCTAGTTGATCTATTTCTTTGTAACAATCGGGTATTAAGGTCTCCTATTATAATTGTGTTCTTGTATATTTGGTTTTTCATGCCCACTAGTATCTGTCCCATTAGTATCTGCCCATTAGTATTAGTCTTATATAGTTGGGTGCTCCTGTTTTTGGTGCATATATATTTATAATTGTTAGTTCTTCCTCTTGAATTTTTCCACTAACGAGTATGTAGTGACCTTCTTTATCTCTTTTAATCATTTTAGGTTTGAAGTTCATGTTGTCTGAAAATAGAATAGTTACCCTTGCTTTTTTCTGGGTTCCTGTTGCATGAAATACTGTTTTCCATCCTTTGACTTATAATCTATGAGTGTCCTTTTGGGTCAGATGTTTTTCTTGTACACAGCATATTGTGGGATCATGTTTCTTGATCCAATCTGTCAGCCTATTTCTTTTGATAGGTGAATTGAGCCATTTACATTTATGGATACCACTGATATGTACTGGCTCGACATTGCCATGTTATTTTCCAGTTGTTTGCTTTCTGCTTTTCCCTCTTGTTTAATTGCTTGTCCTACCTGGTGGTTTCTTTCTGTTGTTTTGGGGATTGTGGTCATTTTTATCTCTATCTAGTATGTCTTTCAATATTCTTTCTAGGGTTGGTTTGGTAGACATGAATTTTTTCAGTTGTTCTTTGTCCTGGAAGTATCTTGTTTCTCCATTAAATTTGAATGAAAGTTTTTCTGGGTACATCAGTCTGGGTTGAAAGTTGTTTCTTTGAGAGTTTGAAATATCTCATTCCAAACTTGTCTTAACTTGAGGGTTTGTGTTGAAAAGTCTGCTGTGATTCTAATGGGCATTCCTTGATAAGTGAGTTGTGTCTTTTCTCTAACACCTTTTAGTATTCTGTTTTTATGACTTATGTCTGAGATCTTCTTTATTATATGTCTCAGTATAGATGTATGTGGATTGTGGTTGTTTGGTATTCTGTTGCCTCATTTATCTGCATATCAGATTTTTCCCCATGTTTGGGAAATTTTCTGTTATTACTTCTATGAATATTTTAGTTATGTCATTTGCATTGACTGCACCTTCACTGATGCCTATTAATCTTACATTGTTACTCTTGGCATCATCTTGAAGCGGCTGGATTGTCATTTCATGCTGCTTTGTTATTTTTAAAAGTTCTATCCTTTCATAATCACTAATTGTAATCCTGTCCTCAAGGTCTGAAAGTTTCATTTAAACAGTTTTGCCAGCTTTAATAGAATTTTTTTTTTGTTTCTTGCATGACTCTGAGTTTGTTTCATGAATTCTGCTTGTTTTTTGTATTGCTCAAAGTTTCAGTTTCACATGCTCCTGTACTTTTTTCTCAATTTCTTCTTTAACTGCACTCAGCAACTCTTGTAAAGTTGTTATTTCTATCTTTACATGGGAGAGTACTTCTAACTTGATTTCCTCTATAGCTTCATAGAGTTGTTTTTTTTTTTATTCACTCACTATCTTCTCAGAAATTTCCAGTGTATTGCAAAAGATCATTACAGAAATGGGAAGGGGTGACTTCCAAGAGAACATGGTAGATAGATAACAGCAGCTATGGAGGCTCTCTGAGATAGCCAGCTTAGATTCCAGGAATGTCACCATGTGGGGAGTCCTAAGCAGGGGAGATATACCCTGCCAACCCAGAAACGAACTAAGCTGAGAGAAACCAACTGAAAATGCAATCCCAGTTCTATGACTGGAACTAAAATCTCAGTGCTAAAGCGGGAACCTGTGCCTCTGGAAACCGTGGCTTGAATTTCCTGGCTCCACTCCTGCATCTGAATCAGCACAGCAGGGATAGAGACGTGAAAGCTCTGAGAGCAGGAATTGGTGAACCAAATTGAGAGCATAGCTGGCGGGGAGCCCTGCATCGACCTGCAGTGAGTGAAAGGAATGGGGACCCTTCCATAGACTCGAATATTCTGGGACTGGGCAGACTAGCTGGAACAGGATGCTGTAGTGACTTCAGTCACATATTCCCTTCTCAAGCAGGATTGGTGGGGAGCACTTGACTTGGGTGATACCATGGACTGAGACCCAGTAGGCTAGCACAAACCAGGTCCCTGCACCTGGCAGTGGACCCTAATGCAGTGAAGCCTTCAGCAGGTTGACTGACCTGGAGGGGCGGGCTAAGCATGGGCTGCCCAGGTCTGTGTCTCCCTAGTACACTGCAGTGGGTGGGAACACCTAGCCGGCACAATTCAAACTAACTGTAACCGACAAAGAAAGAAACTGGGCCTCCTATATATGCTTGTATGGATGGAACAAAAAGTATGGGAAGAGGGAACAACAAGAAAGGGTCCTCAGTCCCCAGACCTGAGAACACTGATCCAGGAAAGGTAAATGCAAAGGAGAATGAGGACAGAAAACATGCAATATCAGGCATGGCACCAATAGACATAAAGCAATATCTCTGGGACATCATAGATCAGTTCAAAAGTGAAGTATTTAACCAAATAAAGCAAGATATAAATAGAATAGTTAAAGAAATGCTAAGCACTTCCCAAGAAAAAAACAAATGGTGGAATGGAAAAACAGAAAAAAAGGGGAGAAATTTGATGGAGAAAATAGAGAAACATAGAATACATGAAGCAGGTTCAAAGAGATTACCAGGAAACTAAAAACTCTATTGAAAGCTGGCATAACAGCTTGAAAGAAACTAAGGATAGATTATCTGAACTGGAGGACAGATTTGTAATGTGGGAGCATGAAAGGAAAAACTTCTTAAAAATAACAAGGAAACAAGCAGTAGCAATACAAAGGCTAGAAGATGATAAGAGGATCTATAACTTAAGAATTAAGAATGTAAAGGAAGAAGCAGGGATACAAACAAATGAACTGCAAAGGCTGTTCACAGCAATAATCAAAGAGAACTTCCCTAATATGGGAAAAGGTAAAGATACTCAGATCTATGAGGCATACAGGACCCCAGCCACCTACAACCCAAACAGAACAACACACAGGCATATAATAATCAAAATTCCAGAAATCCAACATAAGAGCAGAATATTAAAAGCTGTCAGAAACAAGAAACAGATCACTTACAATGGAACACACATCAGAATTACAGGAGACTTCTCGGCACAAACCATCAAATCATGAAGAGCGTGGGACAAAATAATTCAAACTTTGAAAGATAATAACCTCCAGCCAAGATTGAGATATCCTGCACAAGGCTGTCCCTAGAAATTAATGGAGAAACAAGGTGCTTCCAGGTTAAAGAGAAACTAGGGGAATTTGCAACCACCAATTCAACTCTACAGAGAATACTGGAGGATATTCTAAAAAAGGAAAATACCAAGACTTCATAAATAGTGGCAGAGAGGCCACAATGAATGGAGCAGAAAGCAAAATGAAGAAGACAAACTGACAAATAATGATAGAAAAAGAGCTCAACAGAAATGAGGCAGAGAAGGTTGGATGGTAGGAACAGCTATTTTGGAGAAAAGACATCATAATAGCTAGTGCTGATTTAATATCATCTTGTTTTGAAGTCCCATCAAGCTTTTGTTCTTCTGTCTCCTTCAGTCTTAACATGTTGTATCTTATTGGATTTTATTATATGTGATAATATAAACAAAAACTTTTATAGACAAGGAGATAATACAGAAACCATTGTTCATTTTCTGTTAGTTGGTTCTAAATACCCTGTAATACTGTCATTCTCTTGAATAGTTTTACATTGTCTTGATATGTTTGATGCTGCAGTATACAAAGTTATACTCAAAGATTTCAAGGAAAGAGACACTATGGTAACTACTTTTATGTTGGGATATCTTGTGGTAAAAAACTATTTTGCTTAAATTGCTATGTTTTGACCTGTGCTATTTTGTTCTTATGTCCTCTTTTATCTCAATCTCCTTTTTTATTATTTATTATTTTATTTTTATCTTTTTAATTAAGGGAAAATAAATAAATAATAGCAGGATATACTATAGTAACCCACTTTGATTTCCTATTAACTTGATTTGAAATTCTGTATTGCTCTCACCATCTTGTTTTGATTGATTTTACTCTATTCTGTTTCGCTTGATAGTACCAAGTTTGAGAGTACAGGCAACAACTGTGAAGGCAATAATATTCACTATGATGCCCATTCTAGTTTGACTATTATCTTCTTTTGAAGTCCTGTAATGTCTCCAATGTTTTAGTTTTATTGATTTTGTTCTTTACTGTATTGTTCAAGTTTATTATAACTGATGATATAGGCATTCTTTTTAAGATAGCAAGAGGCATTATGGTAACCATTGTTGGTCACCTTGTATTCCGTTTTTACATCATGTACTAATGTCCATCCTTTTGACTGACTCTGTTTTGTTATGTCACATTTGGTTTTATTCTCTTAAAAAAAAAAAGCAATAAGAACTGTGGGAGTAATAAAACCCAAAAATGTGTAATTGTCATTGTAAAAAATAGAGGAAAAGAAAGTGCTCTAAAGGATATAACTGCATGTATATTTAAGTGTATAAGATAGATAACCATATTACTGAGTTTTTGTTGGATCATTGAACAGAACTGTTCGCAGTCTCACTGTTTGAATGCCCACTTTATATGTTTTAATTTTGTAATTTGAACAACTATTTCTAAGATGACAATATGTAATCTATTAACTAGTGATTTCTTACTGTTCATTTTTTTTGAAATTCTGTATTACTCGAACCTTTTTTCTGTTTTTTTTTTTTTTCTCTCCTTAAATAAAATTTAAAAAAAAAAAAAAGAAATGGGAAGGGGCAGGTGAGGCTGTTAGCCCTGGTGATACAGGACTGTACAATGTCATTGTAAAGAGAATTTTAAATGAGAAACCTCATTTTGTTATATTCAAAACTACATCTAGAAGAACCATTTAAGCATGTGTGCTAAGGTGACTTCCAGTGCAGCATACAGCATTCTAACAGAACTTCTGGGTGCACTTCTACAGGTTTTTCCAGACAGAGCTCTTACCAAACAATCCAGCATCAATTTGGTGGATCTAGCAGGCAGTGAAAGACAGAAATCTTCAGGATCTGAGGGAGACAGACTGAGGGAAGGATCACGAGTTAACCTGAGTTTAACCAACTTAGGAAATGTTATCAGGTATGTAATCGGTGGATAAGCATTATTTCTTGGTTGTGCACAGTGGTGCCTACCTGTAATCCCCAGCTCAGAAGACTGAGGCAGGGGGATCTCAAGACCAACCTGGGCAACTTAGCAACACCCTGCTCAAAACAAAAAGACAAAAAGGGTTAGGGATTGTCTTAGTCACTTCCTTGTTGTTGGGACAAAACACTCCCAACTTAAAAGGAGGAAAGTTGTGTTTGGCCTTGTGTTTCAATCTGTATTTCTCAGGTTTAAACAAGGAGTGGCAGGATGGAGCCTGGGCAGAGGAAAGCTGCCCACAGTACGGTGACCAGGAAGCAGAAAGAGAATAGAGGGGCTGGGGAGGGAGACACACCTTTCCATGCCATCCCCCTAGGAGCCTGCCTCTTCTGACCAGCTCCACCTCCTAAGAGCAAGTCAGCTGTAGGGTCTTCGTAACCTAGTCATCTTCCCAAAGGCCCACCTCTGGGTACATGAGGCTTTAGGGAGACCTCACAGATCCAAACCACAACATGCCATCCCTGGCTCCCAAAGGGTTCAAGCACATTGCTTTATGCAAAATGAATGTAGTCCATTTCTAAGTGTCATCAAAGTTAACAGTTCTAGCATTGTTGAAAAGTCCAACTCCAAAGTCTCCTCTGAGACTCAAGGCATTCTTTATGCTGTGATCCCTTGTAAAAAGCAAAAATAATGTTGAACACTACCAACATATGAGTACAGGGTAAACATTCTTATTCAAAAGGGGAGAAATAGGAGGATAGAAAGGAATGGGACCAAAGTAAGACCAAAACCCAGAGGGGCAACATTAAATCCTATAATTCTCTGTCCAGCACAAGCAAAGATGTAAATTCCAAATGGCTTGGGCTGTCCTGCCCCTACAGTGTTGCTAGTTACAGTCCTCATGACTTCTCTCTTGGAGTGGCTTCATTCACTGCCTGCAGGTTCTCTGATGTTCCATTTCTGACTTTTCCAGCTTCCGAGGATCTCCACTAAAGTTTGTTTCCCATCATTGTGGCCCTAGGCTGCAACCCAGATCGTTTCTTCTGAACTAATTCACTAATTCCAGCTACGGCAGCATCTAAGCTACTGTTAATCCCAACCATGGCACTTTTCATTTTTGTCTTCTTTCCTACAAGATTGGTTTATTTTGTTTTCCCATAAGTTCTTTTAATTTTATAGATTTCTTTTTCCCTTCTTGTGATTGTAATTTCTTACAAATGAGATTTCCTCCTTTCTTTTTGTTTCCTTCAATGCCAACACTGTTTTGTTTTGTTTGAGACAGGGTCTTGCTATGTTGCCCGGGCTGACCCCAAAGTCCTGGGCTCAAGTAATCTTCCTGCCTTGCCCTCCCAAGCAGCTGGGACTACAGGTGCGGCCCCCTCACCAGGGCTCACACTGCCTTCTTTGTAGTCCCCTAGAGCAGGACGGGGACTTCTCCTTCCCTTCTATAAAGGAAGTGTGAGCAAAAGACAAGAAAAGGACTTCCTGCCACTCCTGGATCCTGCCTTCACACCACTGGTCCTGCACAACTGAACCACACAACCCCTTCCTGGCTTAGTGTGCCAGCTTCTTGGTCCCAGCTTCCTTCTCTGGTCCCCGTTTCCCCAGCACTCCCAGAGAGGCAGTGGCGGCCTGTGCTCTCTTGCTTTGGCATCTCTGCACAGAAATGTCTCTGCTCCTCTTCTGTGTTGTCAAGTTTAAAGGGGTCCAAGAGAATTTGTGGGTGGTTGCTGACTTATCCCCAGGGAGGCTGGCTTCTTCCTGATGCCCTCTACTAAGTTACTCTTTTATTTCCTTCCCATCCAGTGCTCTGGCTGACGCTGCCCTGAGGAAGAAAGTCCTGCACATTCCCTACCGGGACTCTGTCCTGACCAAACTGCTCCAGTCAGCTCTGGGTGGGAACAGCAGAACTACTCTGGTAAAGTCACTCTCTTACCGCATTTTAGACTGATCTAGTTATTATGACTATTGACATTGCCATTATGATTGAAGTTCCTCTCAATGCACATGCTGCTTGTTTACCTCTTCACAGATCACCTCGTGCCCCCTGGTACCTTTCTAATGCAGTGACCAAATAAAGCTTTTCTGTTAGTAAGTCTAATTTTGAATTTGTTCTTTCCTGTAATTTTCAGGAACATATATTACTTTTTGTTTTGTTTTTGCAGTGCTGGGGATGGAACCCAGGGCCTGGTATGTACTAGACTCCACTCCAGCCTGGAGCATAGATTATTTTTATTACCAGAAAAAACCAAATGATTTAGAACCTAACCTTGGCAAAATCACGCCACTCTCAACCAGCAGTCACCTCCTGGGGAGATTGGACATCAGTTCCTTAGGAAGCAGGCATACCATCAGGAGAGCCACCCAGTCTGTCACCCTCACAAAGCCTCCAGACCATCTGCACGGAAAGCCTGCCCTGCCCCCAGAGGGCTCCGGAGTTAAAATCAGGGCTTTTTGTCCACCAGCTGCAGAGAGAGACAAACCCAGGCAAACTCTGCCTCCCATGGGGTCCTATTGAAGAGAGCCATGCTGAGACCTGGGAGACTACCTCTTCCAGCAAACCCACAGTAAAACACATCCTTAATCTTTTAATCTTGCCTATTTAAAATAATTTGAAAATTATTTGGTTATTGGTTACCATGGAGCTCCATGGGCCATCCCTCAAGGACCTGCAATAAAACTTTGCCCTTAGGGGCTGGGGTGTAGCTGTCTGGTAGAGCACTCAGCTAGCATGCCCGTGGGGTCCTGGGCTCACCCCAGGGTGTCAGTGTCACCCCACTCTGACAGCAGCAGCAGCACAAGGCCCACAACACACCCTCTGAACATTAGGCTAAAATTGAACAGGTCTAATGAGGTGCCTACAAATCACCTGAGACTATGAGGCCAGCAGGATCACGTTTAGGTGAACACAACAGCAAGATGATCCCTGCAAGACTGGAAAGGGCTGCCCGAAAGCATTAGTGTGTTTTAATTATTGTTGTTCTGATTTGTGTGGGGGTTTTCTGCTGGGAATTGAAGGAAAGGTCTGTGTATGCTAAGCATGTGCTGTAACACTGAGCTACAGCCCAGCCCCCATTACAATAATTTAACAAAGAACGCTAGAGAGAGGAGGTGAGAGGTGATCACTATCATATCAGGAAACAAATAAAACAGGTTCTGCAAGGCCACTCTCCAATCTCCAGAGTCTCCACAGCACCAGTCCCAATTTTATCGCAGATCTTGAAATCTCGTTGCCTTTATTTCTAAAGTGGAGCTAGTAACAATGGCCCCTGAAAACACTTCTGTGCTAAGTGAGACGATAAAAGTGAACAAGTTTTAAAGCTACAGAGTAGCCGAGTTTGGTGGTGCATGCCTGTAATCCCAGCTCCTCAGGAAGCTGAGCAGAAGGGCGGCAAATTCAAGGCCAGTCAGGAAATTTAGCAAGATTCCATCTCAAGATAAAAATTGTAAAATTTTACAGTTTTATTGGGGATGCAGCTCAAGGCTTCCTGGATTCCGTCTCCATACTGAACACAAAAAAAGATTATAGACTTCTTTGCCAGGCTGAGGGTCCAGGTCCACAAACCATGTGCTGCCATGAGGACAGGTAAGACACCATCCCGATCACCAGTAGTGAGCCTGCCCACCTCCGAGTCATCAAAAAGTTTCCAACTGGAGAAGTTTGTTATCCACATTCTAGAACCATGACTCCAAAGTCAACACTCAGACTTGAAACCCTAGATATGGCTGGGGAGGCATGAGCAATTCTTAATTGATTTTTGCATTGCTAACTTAAACAAATCTCTGGAATCCCTGAGAAAGTCGCTGAGGACTCAACACTGAGAACAGTTTAGTTCTAAGGTCAGCGGCATGAGGGTTAGAGTTAGTTCATCAGAGGCGGACTCAATCTCCAGCTCGGCCAGTTATTATCCGGGGGTTGTGGAGGGTATTATTTTTCTCTATGCTTTGTTTTCTGGGTTATAAGGTTTGAACAATCCTGTAAGTTATAAGATACAAAACTGTTCTATTTAGCTGTTTTCACAACATCAATAGTAACAAAGCCCTATATGAATAGTAAAATCTGCAAGGGATGTTTTCACAGATCGCAGCCATAAGTCCCGCTGACATCTGCTATGAGGAAACTTTATCAACACTGAGATATGCTGAAAGGTATATTTATGAATATTTCTTTACTATGGTGGTTCTGTATTGGGCAACCTTTTCCAGGGTGCTCTTGCTTGATAGGCTGGCCTGTGGGCTGAGGATCCAGGAGGAGAAAACCAAAGTGAGGTGTAACAGAGAAGCAAATGGAAAGAAAACAAATGAGAAAAAAAGTGATTCTGTCCCTCAAGTCCTAAATAAGAGAGGAGTCGTGGGCTCAGATGTGAGAGACACAGGTGCCAAACCCCTTGTGATTTGTTTCATGTCTCCCTGTAGTTTGCTGCCAAATACGTGACTGTTCCCATAGTCCCCTTACACAGGGAGAGAATATAGCCAGACAGGGAGGATCTGGGCTAATAATAAATGAAGAGATAAGCTTCCAGGGACTCCCTTTGAACGAGCCAGCATCCCCTTCGCTTGGTCAGCTCATGTGACTGGATCGGTGCAGGGATTATACTCTTTGGAAAAGGCCTGGATGTCTTAGATGCCTCTTCACTGGGGGAGACTGTCACCGCCTGCTTGCTTACTGTCTGCCTGGCCTGGAAAATGCTCTGGCAGGCCGCTGGCCAAGCTGTGCTCCTGCTCTTCAAGGCCAGCACCTGCAGTTCATCCCACACCCCTGCTGCTCCTGAGCGCTGTGAGAAAGGCAAGTGTCACTGTGGGCGGAAACCTGCCCTACAAGGTCCCCACTCCTCCTTCCCACACCAAGCAGAGACTGAGGAGCCGTCCCTGCAGCTCTGATCAAGGCAGAGTGGAGCAGGGCTTCTCACCCTGCATTCCAGGAGCTTGGAGTCACAGGGAAATGAAGATTATTTTCCAGTCCTCGATGTCACTTATCTCAGGGCTTGTAAGTCACACAGATCAGCTCAGGCAGCTCTGTGACCCCAAAAAGAGGTTGAGCCTCTAACCTTCTTCTCCTTCACATACTGAGGGGCCGAACCATTCTTCCCTGCTTTGTTCTGCTTGGCATTCAAGGGATGCTCAGAAACAAGGGGTATGATTATGCTACCAAGTGATCTCCTCTCCTGCTAGTCTTCCCTTCACTGTCTTCTCAGTTTGTCACTTGTGTCTGTGTGACACCTTCATTCTCACCCCGCACATCACAGCCTCACTGCTTCACATCATTTGACATTTTCTTCCAGCAATGCAAACTCGGATCTCTTGGTTGAATATCTGTTTGCACAGTATCTAGAATGCTGGTTTTCTCCCTGCCTATCACATGCACATGTATTAGTAGCAGTTTTTTTGCAGGAGAGGCGGTGCCACAGAGGAGAGAAGCAGGTTTGCTGTGGACTGTGTAACTTGGGCCAGCCGTGCTAGTGACTGTTTCAGTCTTTCCTGTGTAAAATCAGAGGAGAGAAGCTGCCAGACTTAGCAAATGAAAATATAGGACGGTGGCTAGAACTGTGGTTCAGAGACAGAGCATATGCTTTGCATGCATACTGTCCTGGGTTTGATCCCCCCAACACATGCTAGGGGCTCCAATAAAGAATTACTTGTGTTTTAGTAAAGTATGTCCTGTGCAATATTTGAAGTATTTCATGTGTTCTCTGGTGATACTGGAGAGGAATGAACCCTCCTGACCTGGGGACATGGCAGAACAGTGACTCACAGCTCTAGGGTTTCAGTTATTCCAGCAAAGGTGATTGTACAGATTCTCAAATAACAAAGTGTGTTTGGGCCTCAGGACACCCAGGTCCAGCACACTCCAGCTGAACCACATGTTTGTTTGAACCATGCAAATTACTGATGTCGCTTTCAGTCTTCATGGTTTAGTGGAACTGGAATTGGGCAGGATGGAATCTCTGGTGACCAGGCAGAGACAGGCTCCCACGATACGTGGCCTCTGAACACACTTCTGCTGCTCTGGGTCTGGTGGTTCCACTGAGGCCACAAAGGAAACTGAGTGTTTGTCTTTGCTCATTAAAGGGCTAAAAAGGTCCGGAACAAAGCTGTTGTCAACACCTGCACACTGTCAAGAGAGTCAAGGGCAGAGAATGACAAACTGCTGCTCAGATGTGGAGACTCTGGAGTGGCAGGTAAACTGAGTCAGCTAAGTTCAGTCTATGGCTGGAGCAAGGAGCTGGTTAATGCCCAGGAGCTGCAGCTGGAGGGACTGGGCCTGGAGCTGGGGAGGGACTCCTGGGTGGAACAGGAGGGAGTCCAAGGGCAGGTGGGAGGGGCCGCTGCGGCTTTATTCGAGATATTTTGGCTTACCTTTAAAAAGCCAAATAGAAACTTTATTTTGGACAATGAAGACTCACAAGCAGTTACAAGAAGTAATAGCCCTGCCTTTTAAAACAGTCATTTCAGTTTCTTTCTTTGCCATTTTATTTGAGATCATCACTTCTACCAGGACTGCGGGTTTCCTTCATACGCTGTATGTGGAGGCTAGCGTTTGACGTTTATGGCTTCTGTAGTTAAATGAAGTGGTTGTCCAGGGTACATCAGCAGCCACCACTTCTTATAGTGCTTGCCTGGTGACTGGGTTCCCCACAGACCAGCTGAATCAGAACCTCAGGCTAGTGTGGGGGGCCAAGCTGTGTGGGTCTAGCGAGTGTGGGTCCTTGCTTCAGTAATAATGGAAATGAAAACCAAAGCAACAGCAGGTATTTACATGCAAAAGTTTAAAGTAGAAAGTAAGAGAAAAGACAGAAAGGGCTGCAGTTTGGGAATAGAGTGGGACCCAGATCAAAACAAAAGGCCCAAAATGTGATGCGGGACTGAGGGGAGATAAGATCTTGTTGGTCATTATCTCTGATTTTGCAGCTCTGGAGAATCCTTATGACTTGAAAGGCAAATCTGTTCCCAAGAGACAGTTGCTTTTGCTTGGGAAGGGGGCAGCCCCAGTTTGCAGAGCTTTACCAGAGTCCAAGGCTACTGCTTGTTTTAAGCCTGGCCAGAGACTTCTAGATACCCATTCCAGGGATTCTGGAGGAAAGGGTGACAGCGAAATGTTTACAGTCTGAAGGGAACAAGCTAGATAAAGTCAGAGCTAATAAGCCTATCAGATTTTAGGTAGGCGTTCTTTAGGTGACTAACCCGCCTACCTGCCTAGTTAAGCAGAGATGCGAGCTGACATTTTATAGTGATAAAGGAGGCAGATACAGTGTGAGGTAGAGAGGCCAAGGTTAATCCCATTTTTAGTGACCAGTTGGGCGTCTGTGAAGAGTCACTGTTTCTTTGCAAAAAGCAGAAGAAAATACAAACCATGTTATTAGTGAGTACCAGTTGAATTTATCCTCTGTTCTACTTCAGTGGTCACCAAAGGTTTTATTTTCTTATCTAGTTTATTCTTGAAGACAGTAAGTTGAGGGCATCGTGGTTATAATGTTGAACCTGTTTGGTGAGGGTTGGTAAAATCAGGAGGCTGAAGGACTGGAGAAGAGTACATATCATACTTTTAATGAGTAATAGATCCTGAATTAAGGCCCTGGAGCACACCTGCTCTTTGACTTTGAACGTCTCTAACTCTGCCTCAAATGTCTGTTAAAGTGTACAGGCGATTCAATTGCATGATCATCCAGAATCGCTGCTTTAAGTTTTCAGTTCAGCACCATGGAGATATACAAGACATACAAGTGGAATATACAAGATACAGGATGGGAAATCTCAATATAGAGCAAAGGTTTAAGTTTTAAAAATTATTACAGTAAAAGACACATTACCATTAATCCCCCACACAATATTCCCCTCACCTTGGACACACTTATCCCATAACTCTTTTTATTAGTACATATTTTTAGTACATAAAGATTACATTCATTGTGAAGTTGGTACATGTTCTTAACACATCCTAATTCTTTTTGTTCCATTACTTTCTCGCTTAGCTAATTTTTCACTAACCTCCCTCCTATTCTTTCCATCTCTTTTTTTCCTATTATCTTTTATTTTGAGTTTTAATTATATTTTGGTTTCTCTGTAAGAAAAAGCATGCAGTATTTAAGCTTATGTGTCTTATTTCACTTACTATTGTATGATTTCTCAAGGGACATTCATTTTCCTACAAATTATTCAAGTTTATCCTTCTTTATGGAAGCATAGTCCTCAATTGGGTACAAATAACATTTTCTTTGTTCATTCATCTAGTAGTCGACATATTAGGCATCTTCCAAGGTTGAGCTATTATGAATTGTGCTGCTATAAACATGGATATGCATGTATCACTGTAATATGATAATTTTAACTCTCTTGGGAAGATATCTAGGAGGCGAATAACTAGGCTGAATGAAATGTCATCTTTAGTTTTTTGAGGAATCTCCGTAATATTCCCATAATGGCTGTACTACTTTATATTCCCACCAACAACATAGGAGGGTCCCTTTGTCTCCACAGCCTAACCAGCATACATTGTTAACTGATTTCTTGATGATAGCTGTTCTTTCTGGAGTGAAATGAAATCATAGTGTTACTTCGATTTGCATTTTCAAATAGTGAAGTTGAACATTGTTTCATACATTATTGGCCATTTGTATTTCTCCTTCTGAGAAATGCCTGTTCATTTCAGGAGCCCATTTTTTGATTGGGCCTTTTATTTTAGGGGAAGTTCTAATTTGGGGGGATTCTTTATATATTCTTAATATTAGTTCACTGTCCAAAGAAAAACTGTCAACGTATTTCCATTTTTCCATTTCTCTTTCTTCTCCTGGCCGTTTCCTTTGCTTTTTGGGAGTTTTTTTTTTTCAAATTGGATATGATTCATCCTGTTGATTCTTGGTGCAACTGGAGTTCTGTTTAGCAAGTCTTTGCCTATGCCTATGTCTTTAAGAGTTTTACTGATTTTATCTTCCAGCAGATTGTTTCTATTGGATATTTGATGCATTTTGATTTTAATTTACATGGTAAGAAATATGAGTCTAGTTCTAGACTCAATTTCTGCATTTGAATAGCCAGGTTTCCCAGCACCATTTGTTGAAGAGACTTTACCTTTCCTCCAACCTAAGTTTTTGGCCCCTTTGTTAAAGATCAGATAGCTGAATGTGCTCAGAGTTATTCGGCATCCTTTGTTCTGTCTCCTTCATCCACATGTCTGTTTCCCCCCAATACTGTACTGTTTTTATCACTGTAGCTTTGTAGTATAAATTAGAGTCTGGAGTTGCAGTTCCTCTTGCCTTCTCTTATTGTCCAGGATTACTTTACTATGCTGAGACTCTTATAGTTCCATCTAAATTTTAGAGTCGTTTTCTCTAGTTCTGTGAGGAATGCTATTCGTATTGTGATTGGAATTACTTTAAATATGCATATTAGTTTTGGAAGTATGGCTTGTTTCTATGTTTGTTTTTCTGAAACAGGGTTTCCATATGCAGATCAGGCTGGCCTTGAGCTCACTTTTGTAGCCCAGGTTGGTCTCAAACTCACAACAATCCTCCTGCCACAACCCCAAGTGCTGGGATTACAGGCATATGCCACCACACCCGGCTATACCATTTTTATTACATTGATTCTGCCTATCCAAGGAACACAGATTGTCTTTCCATTTTCTGATGTTCTTTTCAGTCTCATTTTTTAGAGTATTATAGTTTGTCAACTTCCTGTGTTAGGTTAATTCCTAAGTACTTTTTCTCAATACTATTATGAAAAGTATTGTTTCTCTAATTCCTTTCTAGGTGAGTTCCTTATTGGGGTACAGGAATGCTATTGATTTTTGTGTGTTGACTTTGTACCTTGCTGAATTTGATTATTAATTCTAGGAGCCTTTTGGTGGAGTTTTTAGGTCTTGTATTAGAGGATTATGTCATCTGCAAATAATGATAATTAGACTTCTTTCTTTTTAATACATATCCTTAATTTTTTCTCTTGTTTGATTCCTCTGGTTAATAGTTTGACAACTATATTAAATAGCAGTGGTGTCAGTGCACATCTTGTCTTGTTTCTAATTTTAGAGGGAAAGCTTTTAGCTACCTCCCTATTTAATATTATGATTATTGACTGTTGGTTTGTCATACGTTATTCCATAATTTTTGGCACTAAGGTAGTTCTACAAGTCCCTTACAAGCATTTTTACAATGTATGATCAAAAATCGGTGAATGTTGTTGCCAGCTGCCATCCAATGGAAAGGCAGCCTTGTAAAAACATTACAGTGTGTCCTCATTCACTTTAGAGTATTTAGAGTACAAAGTCAACACACAAAAATCAATAGCATTCCTGTACCCCAATAAGGAACTCACCTAGAAAGGAATTAGAGAAACAATACTTTTCATAATAGTATTGAGAAAAAGTACTTAGGAATTAACCTAACACAGGAAGTTGACAAACTATAATACTCTAAAAACTCTATATACTGATCAGATCTGGCACCACGTGATCTTCTACTCTCTCCAAAGTCAAAATGACAATGAAAGGCAAACATTTTGAATTGATTCAGGAGAGAGAAAAAAAGATGGCAGATAGATAACAGCAGCTACAGAGTCTCTCTGAGATAGTCAGCTTAGATTCCAAAAATAATACATCCTGGGGAATCACAAACAGAGTGAGATACACCCTGCTGACCCAGGAACAAATTAAGCTGAGAGAAACCAATTAAAAATACTGTCCCGGTGCTATGATTGGAACAGCTAAAGTCTCAGTGACGCTGCTTGAAATCGTGGCTTGAATATCCTGCCACTGCTGTGCCTGAATTGGCACAACCAGGATAGCCCGCTAGTTTCAACTCACTGGAGATGTGAACACTCTGAGAGCAGGAATCAGTGAACTGAATTGAGAGCAGAGCTGGCGGGGAACCCTGCATCAACCTGCAGTGAGTGAGAGGAATAAAGACCCTTCCATAGACAAAGAGGCTCCAACAGAGGACATTCTGGGACCGGGCAGACTGGCTGGAACAGGGCACTGCAGTGACTTCAGTCAGATATTCCCTTCTCAAGTGGGATTGGTAGGCAGCACTTAACTTGGGTGACACCCGGACTAAGACCTAATAGGCTAGCCCAAACCAAGTTCCTGCGCTGGACAGTGCACCCTAATGCAATGAAGCCTTCAGCAGGTTGACCTAGGGGGGTGGGCCCAACATAGGCTGCCCAGGTCTGCCTCCTAGTACACTGCAGTGGGCAGGACCACCTAGTCAGCGCACTTGAGACAAACTGAAACCAACAAAGAAAGAAACTGGGCCTCCTCTACATACACCTGTACGGAAAGAACAAAAAATATGAGAAGAGGAGGCAACAAGAAAGGACCCTCAGTCCCCAATCCTGAGAACATTGATCCAGTAAAGGTAAATGCAAAGAAGAATGAGGACAGAAAACATACAGTATCAGGCATGGCACCAACAGACATAAAGCAGTATCTTCGGGACCTCATAGACGAGTTCAAAAGTGAGTAGAGAGTAATAGGGGTGACCAGAGAGTAATAGGGGTAACTGGACCAAAATTTATGGATAGGTTGAACAGACATGCTTTAACCAAGTAAAGCAAGATATAAATAGAATAGTTAAAAAAATGCTAAGCACCTCTCAAGAAAAAACAGATGGTGGAATGGAAGAACAAAAAAAAAAGAGGAGAATTGTTTGACAGAGAAAATAAAGAAAACATAGAATACATGAAGCAGGTTCAAAGAGATAACCAGGAAATTAAAAACTCCATTGAAAGCTGGCATAACAGCTTGAAAGAAACTAAGGATAGATTATCTGAACTGGAGAACAGGTTTGCAATGTGGGAACATGAAAGGAAAACTTCTTAAAAATAACAAGGAAACAAGCAGTAACATCACAAAGGCTAGAAGATGACAAATAGATCTACAACTTAAGAATAAAGAATGTGAATGAAGAAGCAGGGGTACAAACAAAGGAACTGCAAAAGTTATTCACAGAAATAATTTCAGGAACAGTGGCAGAGAGGCCCCAACAAATGGAACAAAAAGCAAAATGAAGAAAACAGATAGCTAATGACAGAAAAAGAGCACAACAGAAATGAGGCAGAGAAGGTTGGATATAATTTCTAATATAGATGGCCTAGATACACTAACTTAAGGGAAATAACAGAGAATCGCAGGCAGAGTGCATCCATAGGTAGGGTCCACTGAGAGGTTCTTTATAGGAAATATAATTAGCCTAAAGAAAGTTATATGGACCAAAATCAAATATGAGAAAACAGAACTCTATGTGGTAGAGAACCAGAGAATAATAGGGGTAACTGAACCAGCATTTATGGATAGGTTGAACAGACATGCTTTAATAAGTGAAGAAATATAACTAGAAATCCAGTCCAGGAGTAAGAAAGTTCAGAAACACTTAGGTAAATAGCAGGTTGCCTCCCTAATATAAAACCGTGAGTGTTAGGGAGACCCAAAAATACACGGTTCATCCTGGGAAAGTGAAAGGAGAGGAAGAGTCTTAAAAGAAGCAGCAGAAGATATAGCTAATAGTGTATCAGGAATTAAAACCCTTATTACTCACACTACTCTGCTTGGATGGAACTTGTTCCATCCTAGTTTGTATACAAGCCCTGGATCTGAGGGCACACACAGCTGTTCCAAAGATATCAGGACATAGCACAGTGGTCATCTTTAATTTCCTATTAACTCAATCAGGATCCCTGTATGACTTATACTGTTATATCATGAATGATCTTAGTTAAATCTTATTTGTTTGAATATTGCTTATTATTGACAGATTTTATTCAAAACTGCTAGGTTGCTGGTATCAAGTTGAGGAGTGTAAACAACTATACTGAAAATGACAATGATTCACCATGACATCCATTCTCTACACTATCTACAAAGTTGTATTTCTATTAAGTCTGTTATGTACTGATATGTTCAATTATAGTTTATCTGATGATATAACCAATTCGGTCGATGATAACAAGAAACAGCACAGTGACCATGCTAGAACTCCTTAAACAGCAGTTTTATATGTCTTTTTAGTTTTATGTGTCTATAGGAATATGTTCTTTCCTGCTTTGTTCTGTTTCTCCCTCTAATATAGAAAGGATAGAAATATATGTTAAGACTCATGCTTGCATAAAAACTTATAAACCGTTTATGAGAACTGATCTTATGACACATGATGAAATGAACAAATACTTTGAAGGAAAGAAAGGGGCATTGCAGTACCCAGTGCTGATTCCGGAGTGTTATGATGTGAAACCCAGCAATATTATTACTCTTTGTTCAGAAGGATTTTAATCTAATAAGTAAGTTTTGTTAGGTTCAACATAAATGAAGATATGGATAAATGTGTACATGTCTAAGTGTATAGGATTGATAGTCATAATACTTAGTTTTTGTTGGATAGTTGTACAGAACTTTTTATTTTGATAGTTGAACAGAACTTTTTGCAGTCTCCCTGGTTGAATTCCCATTTATACGTTCCACTTTTGTATCTTGAACAACTATTTGGGGGGGGACAATATGTATATATCAACTAGTGATTTATTACTGTTTATTTTTTTTCTTTGAAAGTATGTACTATTTCTGCGTTTTCTGTTTTGTTTTGTCTTTCTTTAAATTTAAAAAAAAAAGAACAACAACAATAAAAAAAGAACCCAAATTGATTCAGGACATTGAGGCAGCCACAAGAGTACAACTGAAGACACTCGGGAGAGAGGAGTGCTGGGACTTCTCCAGAAAGTGGTCTGAAGGAGGGGATGGATAAGTGTGATCAAGGCCAGGGAGAAGATTTTAAGGGAATTCAGACAACATGTCTTTTACTGTAATAAATCTTTTTTAAATTTAAAAATTCACCATATATTTTTATGCCACATGTACATTTTATGCCCATTAATGGTTCAAAATGGGATGGATGATAAAGGTAAACTAGCGAGCTGTTGATACACAGTAGGTAAGGTGTTCAGCATCAAGCCAGAAGCATAAAAAATCCCAAAGCTTCTGGGGCTGGGGATTTAGCTCAGCGGCATAAGCGCCTGCCTTGCAAGTATGTGCTCATGAGTTCAATCCCTGGTACTGATAAAAAAGAAAAAGACAAAATAAAAAATCCCAAAGCTTCGATGCTCTCCAACGCTGATGCTCCTGACCCTGGTTCCTTGTCCCCTCCCCACCTGCACTCTGTGCTGGCTCTTCCTCTTCACAATCCCATTCATCACAGTGTCAGACACCACTCAGGAAGCTCTGCCAGGATCACTTCCGGGCTTCCTCCTCGACAAAACCCTTCCTAAGGGTAGTGCATGGTTGGTCCCTATATGGATCTGGTTATCACAAGATCCCTGGCTAACACCAAAACCTGCATGTGTTAGATGTTGACCTATATATGGCATTTAATTCCCATTTTCATAAGCAAAGACACAAAATACATGCAAGACAATGTAAGCTAAAATCTATGGTTCTTCTTGAATGCCATAGACTCATAGGGAATCCCCTACAATGATGGTATGAAGTGAAACCCCTCATGTGACTACAGGAAAGAGAGAGAATATCTCCCCTCAGAAGGACCTTCTTACTCTAATGCTTTGTGAGTTACCCATCGCTCACCTGACATGTTCTCCACACTTGGGTGAAGCTCAGTTTTCCCTCCGTGGGGTCCCGGGCTTCACCAAGAACGCAGTTGAGAGTCCTGTAATGACTCTGTGCCTCACCCCTCACTCTTTGGTCCCAATGCTTAAAACCCTCTTTCCTGTTAGAGTTTAAAACCCTCTGCTCTTTCCTGGCAGGGCACCAGCTGGGGAGGCCTGCTGCCCAGAGCACTTGGGCACACCTGCTGGAACAGGCTCGGAGAGAATGGGAGCAGCAGTATGCAGCTGTGGCCCTGGTGAGCCTCCTTCCTCCCTACCCCCTGCAGGGGGCGGCCTCCACCCCATATGTGGAGACCCCTGTCTTCTTAACCTTGCTGAAACACAGTCCCTGACACTTATAGAAAGCCCTTTCCGGATCTCATCACTGCCCAGGAAGTTTCTATGTGTAATTGAAAAGTTACTGGAATTCTAGCAAGTCAAGTCCAGTCTACCATTCCCGTAGAACCCACAGCAAGAATAAAGACACGAAGGCATATCTATAGTTGTGGGGAGCCAAGACAGTCCTAAGTCCAGCTAAGATGATGGTTAATCGGAACAAAGCCTCGACCCAGGGCCAAACCCAGGTTCTGTTAATTCTTGGCTCGGGGATGAGTGACTGTGAGAGTGGTGGGAAGTTCGTGAGTGCTGTGAGCTGGGCGGGGTAGGTGGCCTGAAATCATCTCTGCAATAATCAGAGAAAAGTACATACAGAATTAGTAACCTATGTGACACAGCCTGAGGTAGTATCTAATGTTTTGGGGTTGGTGTTTCAGCTGTGATGTGCAATCTTTTATTGGAAGTCATAGCCTCTTATCTGGAGGCTCAATCCCAGTGGACAGCATGGAGCATGGTTTTCCCTCCTGCTTGGCTCACACATATTTTTGAGGAGCTATCAGGGCAGGGTAACACTGACCTGTTGCTTTTCTTCCAGGACTATACATCACGCTAGACCAATTTGCATTGCTAAAAGCAAACTGAGGGGATAAAGAAAAGTCCTAGCCAGCTCTGCAGATATCAACACATGGAAATAGGGCCAGGTTTAGCCAAAATGGAGATAATTGTTCTTTATTCAAGGAGATTAGTCCAGGTGGTTCTCCACAGATACCCAAAGTTAAAGGGGGAAAAGGTTTATTTAGCTCAAAGTTTATAGCAGTTTCAGTCCATAATTGACTGGTTCCAACACAGGGAGGCACAGCAAAAGGTATTGCAGAGGAGAAACTGTCATAGCAAAGCAATAAGGAACAGCCATGGCTCTTTCTATCCCTTCTATGTTATCCAGACTACTCAGGGCAGATAGCGCTCACACCCACAATCCTTGTGCCCTTGAGCCTAGCATTGTACCATGAATCAACCCCAGTGTCACACACTCTAGATCCTGCCACCTCTGAAAAGCCCCTCCTATGACTGCATGAGGCTTTGGAGGGACATCTAGACACAAACCGTAACAGCTCCCCAAGTGCAATAGGCTTTGTCAGTGAACACATAAGATGGGGCACATGATACAGGATTTATTACTACTGGTGGAGTTGGCAGGAGAGTGGCAGGGCTTGAAAGGAAGGGAGACAGAGGCCTCGGTGCACACTGGTGAGTGTGGCTGAGCGTGGAATTCAAGGCTGTTGGTGATGGGAGTTTGGGGAGATTTTGAGTGCTATGCGTTGTACCCTGGGACTGTCTAGAGTGACCTGAGCCATGGTATCTCTCTGGCACTCACTGCCAATATCAGATCACAATGTGATATAAATACAGGTTTTTTTTTTCTGTGTGCTAGGGATAGAACCCAGGGCTTTGAAAAATCTAGACAAGTGCTCTGTTGACTAAGCTACATCCCCAGCCCCTGGGCTATAATGTGAACCTCATCCAGGGGTGAAGGAGATGCCTTCTCTGCCTCTCCTTGCCACTCCCGCCCCACCACAACTGTACAGCCATGAGGCTCCAGGCACACCCCAAAGTTGTAGGTCACACCTGGAACACAGGGCAGATGGGAAAGCCCACCCTGGGATCTGGAGGCCTCAGGAGCCCAGAGGAGGTCGCAGGCGGCAGGAGTGGAATGGGAAGGGTCTGCGGCATCAGGAGCCCAGATGAAGACAGGGGCAGGACAAAGTAGGGAGCAGCTGGAAGCCCAATGAATACAGTATCCTGTGTGAGGGGTCACAGGGGCTGTGACTGTTAGGCCAAGTAGGGCTTAGCACAGATGTAGGGGATTTGTGTTCTGCATGAATCATGCCAGTGTCATCCTCTTTACTCATAATCAGAACAGATTTTAAAAATTAAAAGTTCTCCTTGCATGGAATTAGAGCTTTGGCTCAGTGGCAGAGCACTTGCCTTCCATGTATGAAGCCCTGGGTTCCATCCCCAGCTACACACACAGACACACAGACAGACAGACAGACACACACACACAATTTCCTTGTGCCAGTGTTTATTCCAGTCCCATTTGACTGTCAATCCTTTATCAAAATAATACTTGCTATAATACAAGCCAATACTTGCTATAAAGAAAGAACTAGGGAAGGTTAATGCAAAGTGTTCTTTTTGCCATCAACACCTAGTGACCAGTTAAGCCATGCCAGGGCTTTGAGAGGATGGAAGGGAGAAGGGAGACCTAGCAAAGGGCTGCTGGTGGGGTGTCCAGGCAGCTGGGAGTCAGACACAGGGCAGCTGGTGAAGGGAGGGCAGGATGGCAGGCAGTTGCACCTTGGAAAAGTCCTGTCTGGATGCCCTCAGGCTCCTGACAGCTGACCCCAGCCCTGCCATGGACCCCAGGTACCCTTGTCCTGCTTAGCCACCTTCCTCACTCGGCCTCTGCCCCTAGAGCCAAGCCGGTGCACAAGTGGACAGGGAGGGTGCAGTCTGGTGATGCTTCTCTCTCTGTCTCTCCTCTAGGAGCGGCAGCTGATGAAGACCCTTCCTCACCTTGTCAATGTAAATGAGGACCCGCAGCTCTCTGGGGTCCTCAAGTACTTCATTCGCGCTGGTATTTACTCTTCCCCTGCCCTGGTCCTGCTCTGCCTCTGACCCAGAGACAGTTTCCTCCCTGCCCTCCAGCCTCCTTTCCCTTCTTTTTTTGAGTTTTAACCCTTGGTATAGTGGCGCACACCTGTAACCCCAACAGTTGGGAGGCTGAGGCAGGAGGATTGCTGTGAATTTGAGGCCAGACTGGGCTACAATAGTGAGTTCAAGATCAGCCTGAATTACACAGCAAGTCCTGATCTCAAGGAAACAAAACAGAGCACAGCAGAACATGCTTAAAGAATTTTTAAGAGTACACGCTTAAGAAGCACTAAGCACCTTCACATTCATATGTAAGCAGCATCCATCTCCAGAATCCTCTGTCATCATCTCAGACTGAACCCACTAAAAACTAACTCCCCACTCTCACAGCCCCTGGAAACCCCATTCAGGTTTCTGTGTCTGTGAGTTTGACCATTCCAGGTACCTTAAATACAAGCAAGATCATACAGCATTGTCCTATGCAGCATGATTTAAGTTTACCCATGTTGTAGAACACAGGAAAACTCCCTTTTTAAGGCTGAATAATATTCTCTTGTATGCAAATGCTGTATTTTGTTTATCTGTTATTCAGGCATGGCTCTTTCTCCATTAAAATATTTTATATTTTTTATGTGAAAAAGTAAGATATACTTGTTTTCATTAATGCAGCCATGTGAAAATGTATATAAGTAATCATTGATAACTTCTTGTTTCCTAAAAGGTTAGCCACCATTAGCCTAGCTTGTAAGGTGGATTGTTCCTGAAACAAACCTTCAGAAAATGTTTCAGGTGGAGATAATTTGTTAAAGACTTGCCCCCAGGAAATGGGGAAGCTGGCGTAGAAACAGAGAAGGACCTAGACAAGGGAATACTGTATTTCCCCATCACTGTTCCCTTGCTCAGTGGTTACTCTGTTCAGGCAGGTGAGGCCAGGACAGGCTGACCAGGGCCGGTGTTTCTGATCTCTAGTTTTCAAGGGTGTTTCCCAGCAAGGTTCTATTTTTGAGGGAAGAGTGTACTTTCAAGGAAAGTCTCTCAGAAAGCTCTACAGTATAAATGGTGCCTCGGGAGTGTGTCTGCCTGGAAACACAGGCTTTGTGTTCAGTCCAGTGTCGAAGCTTGTGGAAGCCATAAAATCACCAGGTGTTTCACCTCCAACTCTCTAAAGAAGGTGAGCTCTCCAGTGCCCAAAACAATCTTCTCAGTCTCCCTGATGTTGCAGGTGCATCCTGGCAGGACAGGGCATGGAGCCATGTTCTTATCACATACTCATTTCATGGATTCAAAACCTTGAAAATATCTCTTTGACTGAAATGAACACTGAGTGTATTGGAAAACAGCACCCAGCACTTCAGTGACCCTGGGTCCCTGGTGCTAAGACAGGCGTGGGTTCCAGGACAGTAGTAAGGACAAGGAGGTATGGGACAGGGCTACCTGAAAGCTGTTGGTGACACTCTCAGGGTCCCCCTGTGGCTGTCACTAGACAGAACCGGAGACAGAACTTCAAAGAGCTTGTCCTGTGCCAGGCTCTACAGTGTTTTCTAAGGCTCAGTGTCTTCTGATTTTTTTGTCCAAAATCCCCATGAAGAAGGTACAACTTTTAAAAAGATAAGAATACCATGAAAAATGGCAAAAGGTAAAAAAGGTCCATAAAGCAAAGTCATATCCAAGTACCACAACCCCAGCAGGAAAATCCTCCTCATGATCATTCTGGAGAGAACCTCAGCTGTGTTGTCGTACTGAGGTCAAATCCTGACCATTGAAGGTGAGCTGTCCTAACTCTTTTCAGGTACCTGTGATGCTGGGCAGGCTGCTTCCAATGCTATCACTCTTCAGGGCCTGGGGTAAGTTTCTGTGAATAGCGTCTCTGTCTAGCATTGGAAAATTAAGACTTCTTGACACAGAGGTGGTGCTGGAAGGCCATCTGGTCGTGGGCACCCAGGTCACAGATTCTAATGGACAAATGCGAGGTCCTCCCTCATGACTCACCATGTGACAAGATTTAGGAAGAGTCTTGTTCTTGAACTGAAATCTACAGGACCAGGCTCACTGTTTCCTTGGCTCTGGTCTTAGAAAATAAGGAGATGTCAGTGAGAAAAGTGTCTACAGGGATTCTTCATAAACAGAAATGAGGCGACCTGGCCAGGAAACAGAGTTGAACAGACCAGCCCGTTGCAGGCAGTCCGCATCTTTTCTGTCTCATCTCGAAAGGCAGCTACATCTTCAGCTCTTGGTACTTCACTGACTCGGACCTTCACTGACCGGACTAAGAGGCGAAAGCCTCCGTTTTGGGGTGACTCCCTTCCCCAAGAACTCCCTCAGGAGCCCGCTATGGGAGTCAGTATGAAACTCTAGGGCAGGTTTTCCGCAGTCAGAGTCTCCAAGCCATGTGCTTTCGGTTTGGGAGGCCACTGCTCTGGGGTTCTCTCCTGCTTCTCAGCTTCCCACACATCTCTAGCCAGCAGGTGTGATCGGCTCCTTCAGAAAGAGGCTCACTGGCAGCCCTCCCAGGGTGCCTCTGCCCCCGCCCCCAGGCAAAGCACACGGCCCTCGTGGGAGATATTCTGCCCCAGGAGCCATTGGTACCACCTCACCTGTCCCACCAGGCTCCTCTGCGTCTCTTCTTGAGGATCCCCTCATCTCCCTTCCACCCCACTTCCTTAGCCCAAAATTCAGGTCTGTAATTGGCCAAACTCCCTTGTGACCTGAGATCAAAACCTTTCCCTCAGGATCCTCGTGCCCGCCCCCCTCACCCCACCACACACAAAGGATGTAGATGGACATGTGTCTTGGGATCCAGAACTCTCCGTGAGGACCAGTGAGTCCAGAATCTTTCTAGAATGGTAGGAAGCCGGTCATTTGGAGCATATAGATGTCATCAGGAAGCAGCCCCATTGATATCTCTGACATTCACCCCAAATCTTGTAACACACATAGACTGGATTTGTATGCCTAAAAGCCCAGAAATAGATCTACATTTACCTATACTATGTAACCACTTTATGGAGTCACCCTCCTAAGCATTTCTTCTGAAATGTCTTTTTTAAAACGTATATATTTTTCAAGTTTTTGTTTTTTACTTGTGCATGTTTGCAGTACATAAAGATCACATTCGTTGTGGGGACTTTGTACGCACACATAACATCTTTTTTCATCTTCCATTTGTCCTCCCTCCAACTCTTGGTTCCCTTCCCATTTGCAAAAAGATCTGTCCCTTGTTTCCTATTAGCTTTCATTTGACTCTTTATTTATATTTTTACCTTCGTATTAAGAGAGATCATGCAATGTATAAGCTTCAATCTGGCTTATTTCACTTAACATCATGGTTTTAAAGTACAAATGCCTGAAACTTATCCTTTGTTAAGGTAGAATAGTACTCCATTGTGTATAAATATGTTTTCTTTACCCACTCATTTATTGATGGACATATAGGGCACTTCCAAGATTTAGCTATTATGAATTGTGCTGCTACCAACATGGGCGTGCACTGTAACACTGTGATGAGATGTCTCTTTTGAAAGGATACCTAAAAAGGAATAGCTGGTTGTTTTACTTACTTCTATCATTGCTGAAAGAAAACATACAACACCCATACTTAAAAGAGGAAAGGTTTATTTTGGTGCACAATTTGTAAAAGTTTCAGTCCACAATAAGCTGACTCCAAGCCCAAGTGGCATGGCAGAGTGGCACTGCAGAGGAGAAACTGTTCATGGCAGGCAGGAGGCAGCAAAAGCAGCAGGCAGCAACCAACAACAGCATCCCTCTTTCTGTCCTTATATTCTATCTACACTACCCGCGTGTGGGTACTTAGTCCTAGCATCACACATGGATCAATCCCAGCATCACACACTCTAGATCCGGCCACCTCCAAAAATTCCCACCTCTGACCATGTGAGGCTTTGGGCGAACATCTAAATAAAAGCCATGACATGAGTCAAGTGGGGTTTTTGTTTTAGTTTTTTGAGGAGTCTCCATAGTGATTCCATAATGGTTGTACTAGTTCACATTCTCACCAACAACACAGAGGGGCTCCTCGTTACCTCCACAGCCTCATGAGCGCTTGATATTTGATTTCTTGACTATGCTCATTCTTTCTTGAGTAAGATGGGATCTCAGTTGTTTTAATTTGCATTTCTCAATGGCCTGAGATGTTGAACATTTTTTCGTGCCTGCTGGCCATTTGAACTTCTGAAGTTTCTCTTCATTTCATTTGCCCCCTTTCGATGAGGTCTTTTATTTGGGAGGATCTGATTCCTTTTTTTGCCTATTTATGTATTTTAGATATTAGTCCTCTGAGTAATATATGGCAAAACTTTTTCTTGTTCTCTAGTTTGTCTTTTTTTTTCATTAAGTTTATTGGCACATTTTAGGCACATATAATGACCACATTTGTCATAGAAATCTTGTTCCTATACATGATAGATCTTGATTCTTCTTTCTCCATTCTTCTGCCCTCCATTCAACCCCTCTTTCCTTCCCTACTTACAAAAGTTTTGCTTCCATTATTTCCTTTTCTCATTTTCCCCTTTCTTCTTTTCCCTTCCTTCCTTTCTCCCTCCCCCTGCCCTGGCTCCCTTTTCCATTTAAACATTTTATTCCTATTTAACAACGTCTATTATACATTTTGGTCCTCATTTACACTTTCAATTTCTTGTAATGGAGAAATAATGTGGCATTTAAATGTGAGTCTGATTCATTTCATTTAAGAGTATGTTCTCGAGATGTATCCATTTAGCTAGAAATGTCTCAAGATTATCATTACGTCTGAGTAATACTCACTGTATAAAAGAACCATAACTTCTTTATCCAGTTACTGATTAAGGGACATCTGGGCCATTTCCAAGGTTTAGCTATTACAAACTGTGCTGTTATAAACATGGGTGTGTGTATATCATTGTATTAATTCTTTTGGGTCAAATAGGACCTCCAATCCTAGTTTCTTGAGGAATCTCTGCACTGATTTCTACAGCGGTTATTCCGTCTACACTCCCACCAACAGTGGAGTAGGGTTACTTTCTTCCCACAGCTCTACCAGCCTTTGTTATCGATTGATTTCTTGATGGCAGCCATTTTTCTGGAGTGAGATGGAATCTCAGTGTTGTTTTAATTTGCATCGCTCAAATGACCAAAGATGTTGGACATTTTTTATATATTTATTTGCCATTACTACTTCTTCAACTGAGAAACGTATATTCATTTCAGATGTCTATTTTTGAATTGGGTCTTTAATGTGGGGAGGGCCTGATTGTTTGAGTTCCTTTTATATTCTAGATAGTAATTCTTTGAGGACCCACATTGTGGGTTATCTTTTCACTCTGTTATCTGGTATATTATCTGGCTGTACAAAAGCTTTTTAATAAGGTGATCCTGATTGCTGATTCTTTGTGATAGTTCCTATGTGATCAGGTTTTGTTCATAAAGTCTTTGCCTACACCAATGTCTTGAAGAGTTCTACCTATTCTGTCATTCAGCAGTGACCCATTTTATTTTAGTGTATGGTGAAAGATATAAGTCTAGATTTAATCATCAGCATGTGTAAAGCCACATTTTCAGCACTATTTATTAAAGAGGTTATCTTTCTTTCAATGAAGGTGTTTGGCACCTTTGTCAAAGATAAAGTAGCTAAGTATGCCTGGAGTTGTTTCTGCATCTTCTGATTCGCTCCATTGAGCCTCAGATCTGTTTTTTTTTTTCCAGTACCATATTGTTTTTATCACAGTAGCTTTATAGTATGGTTTCAAGTCAAGTCAGAGATTGTAATTCTCCTTTCTCTACCTCTGTTACCAGGGTTGCCTTCACTATTTTAGGTCTCTTGTGGTTCCAAATGAATTTTAGGATTGTTTTCTCTAATTCTGTGAGATAATGCTGTTGGAATTTTGATCAAGATCACATTCAAGCTGTATTTTGGAAGTACAGCCATTTTCACTATATTAGTTCTTCCCACCCAAGAACAAAGGCTGTCCTCCACTATCTGATATCTTTGCCAATCTCCTTTTTTGGAGTACTGTAGTTTCAATGTAGAGGCCTTTTACTTTCTTTATTAGACTGATTCCTAGGTTTTTTGGATGCTATTGTGAAAGATGGTGTTTCCCTAATTTCTCTCTTAATGCTTCTTGATCTATTCACCCAGTCTGTTTCTTGGCGAAGTGAGACCATTAACACTGAGGTACTAATTGATATGTGTTGACTTATCCTTTTCATGTTATTTTTCCATTACTGGCTTCCTTTTTTCCTGTTTAATTGTTTGCCTTGCCTGGTGAATTCATTCTATTGGGTTTTGTGGCGTTCTGATTTCTGGAATGCCCTTCAGAACATTTTGAAGTCTTGGTTTGGTGGTGATGAATTTCCTTAGCTGTTAGCTCTCATGGAAGTATATTATTTCTCCATCAGTTTTGAAAGATAGTTTTGTGGGGTACATCAATCTGAGTGGGAGGTTGTTTTCTTTTAGGGCTTGTAACACTTCACTCTAAGCTCTCCTTGACTTGAGGGTTTGTGTTGAGAAGTCTTCTGTGATTCTTTTGGGTTTTCCTTTATAGGTGATTTGTTTCTTTGCTCTAATAGCTTTTAATATTCTATTCTTGTGTTGGAAGTCTGAGATCTTAACTATTGTATGCCTTGGTGTAGAATTTTTTATCATAGCTAATTGGAGTTTTATATGTGCTATATGTCAAATTCTTTTTCCCTGTTTGGGAAGTTTTCTGCAATGACTTCTGTGAGTAGTTTTTTTTTTTTTTATCTTTTACACTATCTTGCTTTTTCATTGATTCAGATCAATTTTATTATTCTTCTTTGCATCATGTAGCAGCTACTGAAATGATTACTTGTGATCCCTTGCTATTTTTAA